GAGAGAAGGGGTGTGGGGACACCCGGTCAGTAGTCAGGAGGCCGAGGTCTGACCACAGCAGCCTGGGAAGATCTCCTCGAGGCCTCCGTGACCCCAGCGGGAAAACGAGGGTGGTGAGGTAAATAACCGACAGCAGTCGCTGATCGAGCGCTTCCCAAGTGCCAGGTTCTGTCCCCTTTTTGAAGGTTACATTTAATCCTCACAGCGGGGCTTTGAGATGGGCACTGTCCCTGTCAGCACGCTACGGATTAGGAGAATGAAGCCCAGAGAGTTAGTATGACTTCCCCAGGCAAGCACTCACTCCGGCATTCAGACCAGGCAGAGCCGGATCCAAACTCTGAGGTCCTGACCACTGTGCTAGACTGTCTAGAGCAGTGATGGCGAAACTTTTGAGCTCGGCGTGTCAGCATTTTGAAAAACCCTAACTTAACTCTGGTGCCGTGTCACATATAGAAATTTTTGATATCTGCAACCATAGTAAAACACAGATTTATATTTTTGGTATTTATTTTATATACTTAAATGCCATTTAACAAAGAAAAATCAACCAAAAAAAATGAGTTCGCGTGTCAGATGTGGTTATCCTAATGTCATAGGTTCGCCATCACTGCTCTAGAGCCTGGTGATGCGTGAGGGTGCTGTCCAATAGAACTTGCTGCAGTGATGAAAATGGTCTCTAATCTAAGCTGTCGGACACGGGAGCCTTTGTCACAGGGGCTATTGATCGCTTGAAATGTGGTCTTGCACCTGAGGCATTGACTTTGTACCTGTGTTGAGTTTTAATTAATTTAAGTGTGAAGGATGGATAGGTCACACAGCTCTCAGGTGCCAGCAGAGAGGCCAGTGTGGTCAGACACCCCATGGAGAGGGTGGGACTCTGATGAGGAAGCTTCCCGGACCAGGAAGGAGAGAGCATCTTTCTACCCCACAGTCCCTGATTTCCCCTGGTCCCTTCTCTTGCATCCCTCACCTTCCCTTCTCCTTATCCTCCTCAGCCCTGAAGATCCACCTGTCCTCAGAGACCAAGGCTGTCCTGGAGGAGTTCGGTGGTTTCGAGCTGGAGCTCCGAGGGGATGTAGAAATGAAGGTAGAGAAGGAAGCTCCTATCGTCACCACCTGTTGGGGTCCCAGAGGGGGCTGCCCTCCCTCAAGCCCCTTCTCAAGCAGCCACTTCCACTCCCAGCATTTGGCAAATGGGCTTGCCACTCCCCATCCCAACCCCCTCTTCTATTTCCCTCCAGGGCAAAGGCAAAGTTCGGACCTACTGGCTGCTGGGGGAGCGGGGGAACAGCACCCGGGGCTGACCCGCCTTCCCTCCTGGCCTCCCACACCTCCCTTCCCTGCGCCAGAGGTGACAGCAAGGGTCCAGGCCTCACCCTCGCCCACCGCAGCCCCACATCAAGAGAAGGGGTTTGAACAACTCAGGTGTGCTCACTGCAGTGGAGACCCCACATACCACCTCTGAGAGGACTGGTGTCGGGGGAGAGAACTCGGAGCTCACAGAACCAGAACAAAGCCCACCGCCACGCCCAGAGGGACCCACACCCTTATCCACCCTGACTGAGGCCAAGCTGGGGTGTGGGTTCCTGGATCCTCCTGCCCCTCCTGTGCCCTCCTCCCTCCACCTGGCTACACTGTGACTTCTCTGGGGAAGGGGAAGAGCCATCTTAGGGGGAATAGCAGAATAGCAAAAGGTTTTAGAGGTGAATCTGGGGTGGGAGGGAGGGAGTCCACAACTGCCACAAACACCCCCTATCTCCCACCACCCAACACTGGATACAGTGTGCAGGCAAGAGGCAAGGTATGGCGGGGCTGCCGGCCTGTATGCCTTGCTTCTCAACTGGGAGTGGAGACCATTAAAATCGGTATCCTAGTGAGAGTGTCTCTTCTTGAGGGAGAGGGTTGCCGGAAAACACAGCCACATTCTCCACCCCCTGTCAGATGAGACATGCTTCTCAGGCTGGGAACAGCCTACGCATTGCCCAGGCAGTGCATGCATCACTCTTGATCCCAGGAACCATTTCCACCCTAAGAGTTCTTGAGCTTTTGTTTCTGCGGGCTTATCTAACTGACACGCTACTCTACTCTAAATGAAAACAAGCCCTATTAACTCATTTAAAATAACTATAATAAACCCATCACATGTTAGTAACTTTTTCCTGCTTTATCAAGCACATTCTTAGAGAAACTGGCAGCCCTGGCCGGTGTCCTCAGTGGTTAGAGCATCAGCCCAGGCACCGAAGGGTCGAGGTCCCTGTCGAGGACATGTTTCCTCAGGTGAGGAGTAACAAAAAAGAAGAGAGAAAGAGGGAGAAACTGTTTTTTAACTGGCGATAGGTGAAAATGAAGATTTCAGTGACTAGTTTGGTGCTACTGCCTTGATTTATGCTAAGATACCAGCAGTTTCTCTCTCTCACACACACACACACACACACACACTGCTTTTTCACACTCAGCGCAAATAACACAGTCCATAAGGCAAATCATGTACTAGTAGGAGCATGAAAATCAGAAGCAGGAAAAGGGGTGAGGACTGAATGGAGAGCTCTCACATCTTTTGCCCCAGGAGGCCTGGGAGCACAGAAAAAGGGATGGGGTGGGAACATATGGATCCCTTTTTAATTCCATTGAGGTTTCGGGATTGTCCTCATGTCTCTCCATTCCCATGCCAGTGTAGACAACTGTGACTGATAGTTTGCAAAATGACTCTCCGCTGGGCTAAGGGCCCTCCTTGTCCCAGCTCCAGCAGCTCACCCCACCCCCTTCCTGAGAGGCAGGCAGGCAGGGATGCAGATG